AAACGAATTTAAGCGTGGAATTTGGCCATTGTCATACATCGATTAATTTCACCTCGGTCTTTGGCGAATAGTGATAAACATATAAAGTTATATAGCTTATGTGTGGTTAGTCCGATCGCCGTAAAATATGTTTTGAGTGATAGGTTGGTGATATTTCATGGTGTACAAAAGGATTAAGGACGTGAATGCCATGAACAATGAAGGAAATAAATCGAGTTCATCGAACTTTCTGTGAATCTGTGATCAACTATTCAATACAGTGTAATTCAACTTGGCATATTGGCCTACAATCGTTTAATATAAAATAATATTGCGATATGAAAGAAATTGCTGGACCTACTTCTTCTTCAAAAATGAATTTTGGGGATAATATATTGACTTGAACCTATTGAAATCCTTTGGCTGTGACTTTACAAATTTGGTATCACAAGTGACAAGGCCTCCTATGACATGACTGTTCATTGATATTGAAAAAATAGTTTAAAGATCAATGTTTGGATGAATCAGGGAACTTCATTTACAAAACAGACAATAAGAGACCTGATTTATCTTAACGACAGTTTAAATTATAAATCTGTGAGATTCTAATATACACTCTAGTTTTTAAGATACATATTAACAGTTTACTCTACAATGAGGGGAAAATAATCTGAATATGAGAACTTTCTCTGTTACTCAAGTTTATGTTACATTTAGCACCAAGTATATTATTGTTGCTATCACCTTAGGGGCTGTTTACATGAGCCTGGCTAGCCATGCAGGCTGGCCCGGTTAACCAGGCTGAAGGCCTGGCTAGCCAGGAGGTTACCTGAGCTGGTGACTTTACATGGAGAAATTTCAGCCCGGTTATCCGGGCATCCCCTTTGACTCAAGTGAGATCTCGGCTAGGCAGATTCTTGTTAAATGATTTGTATTAAGCTGGGTGCCTCGGTTAACAGGACTAGTCGGGCTCATGTAAATAGCCCCTTAGTTATTAAGACTTGTTGGCAGAGTAAAATATATAAGGCAATAAAACTGGTTTCAACTTGCAACAAATCAAATCGGATGTTGGTGCATGTAAGTTGTTATTAAGACTTGTTGGCAGAGTAAAATATATCAGGCAATAAAACTGGTTTCAACTTGCAACAAATCTGATGTTGGTGCATGTAAGTTGTAATGTTGTTTTTACAAAGGGAACCAAGTAAATGAAACTTTAACATCTAGTGTATTCTACTATGTACAAGTTGTACAACCCCAAAAATGTAAACAACACTTTGATTTGATTTTAGTTCCATAAATCCATATTTTTTATCCATATTATCAATCCATATTTAATTTGATTTTAGTTCCATAAATCCATATAATTTAGTTCCATAAATTTGAGTTTAGATCCATAAATCTATTAAGATCTGCAACTGTCCTACATGCACAAATGCCATCCAATGTAATGACCTAGATGATAACAGGAAGCAGTTTTTTTTCTTTAAGGCCTTTGATCAAACAGAAAACACATTTGAAGGTCTTCATGTTCCAACAAATTGCTTTCTGTTCTTCATCATGAAAGCTTCTTAATTGTTTTTGAGGTTGTGCATTTACTACAGCTTGAAATTTGCCAATCGTGAACTTTCCAACACTAAAAAGAAGAACAGAAAATATTTGAAGGTAGCGCATCTTTAACCATGTGCACTGGACAATATGCTGTGTTGCCAAAACAATTAATCAATATAACTTCTACAAGTTATATTGCTTAAAATCTTTTACACCAAGTACATAAGAACTGAACTGTAAGATACAAGGCTGGTGTTAAATCTAATATGGATGGTAATCATACACAGGAGAAATTACTAATATGTTGCTACACTGAGTAAATTTATACCAGGCAAGCTGAAAATTCAACTTTACCACAGTAAGAATGCAGCCCACAACCCCTGGTTTACAAGACCAATGCATTCCAGACTGAGCTGCACAGTTTGAATGTGCAATATTTCATTATTTTGGAGCTTAATTAGTCTCGCTCCTTCACTAAGATGGTAAACCTAACAATGCCGATGGTAATTGATAACAGGTGAAATCATTAATTAAGATGGTGCTTGCTGAGTAAATCTACATGAGATTGGTGTGTTGCAATTTTGGGTCATGAACTGTAACTTCTGGCAAATTAGTCTGCTCCACCATCAATTGCTTGATACAGATGTGAACAAATATCGTACTCATTACTGTTACCAGCAATCAAAGTTTAATATCAAAGTTACAAATTATAAACCAGTTCTGGTGAAAATGGATTCTACTCGCGCAGTTTACTTAGTTTAGTCCAAAAACGTTTTTGTTAATTAAAAAAAGAAGCCCAATACAAAGACATCACATCCCCTTTCACTGATCAGGTATATAATTTAGTACGAATAGTAGTACGAATTATAAGGATATTCACAGTATAATATGTGCCTAAAATTAAAAAAATTCAACCTACTGCGTTCTAAAAACAAGACATGACGCATTTTTCTTCAAGTTAAGTGGATTAGTAGTTGCAATAGTTTCAAACTACACTCAGAAAAACAACATATAAATGCATATATATCCATCGGTGCCAAAACAGCACATACAGTTTGCTGCGTTTAAAATGACAATTTTAGCATCATTCAATAAGCTTTTATTATAATAAAATGAATAATCTACCTTTCTTTTGTACGTCCTGAAAATTTCAATGACATCCACCATAAAATAACGACGATATACCCATTTAAAGTTATGAAATACAAGTTTCGCCATATTAGTTTATAATGTTTTGGACCAGAGTTGGTTGCTTTCAACATGGCGGCCAGGATCCGGAAGTAACATGTGCCGGCACAAAAACTTCAAAGGTTCCGACTCGAGTGAAGCTTCTGCCCTTCTCTATTTTGTGCCGTGGTGCAGCGCGGTCAAGCATAAGGAAAACAGGCAATGTGATCATCTTTCATCTTTGGTCTTCTTTTATGGAAAGCCATAGCTGGCTTAAAGTGATCAAACGGTATTTTGTTGGGTGCTTTTAGCATTATACAGCGGTGCTTTCGGCATTATACTTTCGCCATTATACGCGGTGGTTCCCGCATTATACGCTGTGGTTCCAGCATTATACGCAGTGCTTTCACCATTTATATACGCGGTGCTTTTGCAATTATACGCAGGGGTCCGAGCACTATATGCGGTGCTTTTTAACATTATACGTGATGCTAGCTTTCTTTCAACATTATTTTCATATTCTTTCCATGACATGTATATGATTTAACGATTGCTTAAATTTGGTATGTGGTTGACGAATGCTTTTTGTCTATGGTCCGCAAAGACAATGACATGCTTTTCTGTGTATATAAATGAATATAACCATAGTTAATAGAGGACAGGGTTTGGAAGGCCGGCAAACTTCAAAGGCTTTCGAGCTAATTAATTTCAGATGTTGGAAAGGTACGTCACGTGACATTTCGGGTGCATCAAATTCAGAAATTACTATAGCGTAGTATTACAG